TTTTGCTTGTGGATTGAGGATGTTGTACACTCTAAATGAATTGAAAAGTCCACAGTTTATAAGGTACAGCACTACTTTTTTTGTCCATTTCATCGTTTTCCTTAGAATGGAACAGCATGAAAGGAAGTGTATCAGTTTCGTTGGTTTCCTTCCTTTTTCTGAGAGAGGGCATTTCTAAAAGCGCCAGGAACTTGAAGATGAAGACTATTCGAATGACCAAAATACAATGTAACTGCAATGCTTTATGGGTTCGTGCAATTATATAGTTTTTCGTAGATTGACCTGCACGGTTTCCACCAATGAGATCGCTTCATTCGATGTGGACAAGACAGTGTGTTGACATCTAAGGTCCATAACAGATGGCGCGCGAAACACGAGAAAGCTCGTGAGTGGTACGAAAGGTGTTAACTGGGATGTGGAATTCTCATAAAGGTATTTTGGTCCATGTATCATTGTTAACTTAGTATTTCCTTGGGAGAAAAAGTGCTGGGATTTCCTTTTCTGATATTTTGTGATGTCACTCCTTTAACTTTTTAACTGTGACATATTTGCAGAAAAATGCAAATATCATGTATACAGCTTGATGACTTTTTTTTACAAAGTGACCAGACCCATGTGAATTTGTGTCCATAATGCCATCATATTCAAAAGACAATTTAGTTGCATATAAAACTCTGTTAGACATTCTTTTCCCTTCAAGGCTTTGAAAATTTTACTCCATTGTCTTTTTGCATCAGTCAAACTTGTTGAAAAGTCTGATGTCAATCTGATTCTTTTTACTTTATTTGTTCTTTCTAGCCTCTTATAGAATTTATTCTTATACTTTGATATTTCTAAGTGAATATGTCTAGATAACACTTTTGGTGGTGCCACTCTTTATTTTTAACATCACAATTGCATTGATGATTTTGCCACAAATTAAACAATATCACATATGCCATGTTAACAACAGCAAAATTAACCAGATGTTCAAGGGTATCAATCAGGAAGGTGACAGTACCTACCAGTAAGCTCACTAGCTCCAGTACTGTTACTGATATTATTAATATCAATAATGTTAGGAACAAATATCTTCATTCTACCACTTCCTGGCTATATTAACTTGAGCAAGGCAGCCTCTCTGAGCCTCTGTATCTAGTCTGTAAAATGGGAATAATAATAATAACAATTATAAATACCTGTAGGGTTGTAGTGAGCATGAAATGAGATAATGTAGTGTTGAGCAGGAGGCCAGCCAAATAGTGAGTACTTCTTGAACGATTCTTACTAAAAATTAGTATAGGTCTTTCTAATCCACATTGTAATGTAAAAATACTTAGCAAAAGAAGACCACAATGAAAATATGAAAAGTGAATAAAATACTAACTGTCCTGCCCTTCAATGAGTTTGTTATTTTGTTCTGGGCTAAGTGTCTTCAGTGATGAACTAAAATTGAAGTTTATTTTTTAGGTGGATGAGAGAGGGCAGTCAAGATATATCTTACCATTACATTTGTCTTACTGTGATATTTATGCCTGCATCTGTCAGTTTTAGATTATAAACTTCTAAAGCATAAAGGATCATGTATTTACATTTTTGGTTGATTACAGTGGGTAAGATAAAACCCTTTTTGTATTACAAAAGTGAATCCTAATTTAAGAAGATTGTTATGGTAATTTAGAGCAAAGTTGATTTACTCTTGAAACACTCTCAAGTGACTTTAAGGTTCTAGTTGCTTCTCTTAAAGGCATTTACAAAAAACCCAGTTTTTAAAATGCTTCTAAGAGAGCTATCAGTTTTTTTTCCTGGCATTATATGAAAATACGTGTTTTAGCTATTGTATGAGTTATAGTCATAAGGAATTTTCAAAGCGCGGTTGCAAAGAATATTGATATTTTTAGAAAAAATGGGTAGATTTTCAGGGCTCCGATACATAAATGTTATAAGTGAGAGGCAGTCAAATTAATGCATTTTTGTGTATGTTTGAGAGGGTGCGATATCTTTTGAAAGGGTTATGTTTTTCATTTGAAAAGCTAATGCAATTATTTTTGGCAATAATTGTTTTACCAGAAATACATTTGGATTTTATATCATGTCTCTGTTTATTAGACCGCGAGGAGATAATGAAATAGAGGTTAACAACCTTCTCAGTTTGAGTGCTATTAACAGTACTGAAATGACAAAAAATAGGTGGATAAATTCAGATGTCCAATAGACATATGAAAAAATGCTCAACATCAGTAATCATCTGAGAGATGCAAATTAAAACATCAATGAGATATTACCTCACATCTGTCACAATGGTTATCATCAATAAATTAACAAACACCAAGTTCTTGGGAGGATGTCGAAAAAAGGGAACCCTCGTGCACTGTTGGTGGGAATGCAGACTGGCACAGCCACTATGTAAAACATTATGGAGTTTTCTCATAAAATTAAAAATAGGACTACCATTTGACCCAGCGATTCTATTCTGGGACTATATACTCAGAATCCTGAAACATCAATCAGAAAGAATATATGTACCCTGTGTAAACAGCCCAAGCAGTGGTAGGTACCTTTACACAATGGAATACTACCTGGTTGTAAAAGAAGAAGGAACTCTTACCTTTTTGTGATAGCATGGGTGGACCTGGATATTATTAGGGCTAAGTAAAGTAGGCCAGTAAGACAAAGAGAAATACCATATGATCTCACTTATATGTAGAATCTAATGTACAAAATAAACTGATGAACAAAATAGTATCAGAGGCATGGAAACATGGAACAGACTTACAGCTCTCAGAGCGAGGGCACTGGATGAAAGAAGTTGAAGAGATTAGCCAAAGAACATATATGCCTAACTCATATACACAGGTAAGAGTGTGGTGATGGCCAGATGGAAGGGAATCAGGGAATGGGGACATCTGTAATAGTGTCAACAATAAAAATAAATTAAGGCAGATAGAAGAGAAAGAGAAATCTACCAGTACATGAAAAGATAATTTTTATTTCCTTAACCTGAGCAGTAGTAATCTTAAGGCCTTTCAAAATTATAAAAGACAAGATGTTTTTGTATTTTCAGGGCTAGTTGGAATATTTGTAGATAGCTCAACTTTATAAGCTAATCCAACAAGCATTGAAATCTACCCTGCCCATGTGCAGAACGCTGTGGTATGTTCCATGGGAGATATAAAGATAAAACAGACTGTCCCTAATATTAAGAAACTAGAGGCCCAGTGCACAAAATTCGTGCATGGGGTGTGTGTGTCCCTTAGCCTGACCTGCACCCTCTCCAATGTGGGAGCCCTCAGGGGATGTCCTACTGATGGCTTAGGCCCGCTCCCCGTGGTTCTCTGCTCTCTGCGGGGCCTGCCTGCTCCACACCGCAGTGAATGCCAAGCAGGCCATGCTGGGTGCTGCCTGCAGGCGGCACTTGCTTGCTCTCAGGTTGCCGTGGCGACGGCCAAGCAGGCCGTGCAGTGCTGGGAGCTGCCTCCTTCCTGCTGTCAGTCTCTGCCGGGGTCCAGCCCCAGCGGTCCAGGGGTTCCCAATAGTGTGGACGGAGTCGGTGAAGAATGTTTTACACGGAGACAGCGTTCAGAACTCTCTAGCTCTCTTTAGTCTCTGTGGATCTTTCATTCTTCGCCGACTCTGTCCACACCTTTGGGAGCCCCTGGCCCTCTGGGGCTGGACCCTGGCAAGTCTCCACTGAGGCGATGAGGTTAATTTGCATACTCAATCCTGATTGGCTGGTGGGCATCACAAAGGTATGGTCAATTTGCATTTTTCTCTTTTATTAGTGTGGGTTTACCATGTAATAGGAGAGACAACACATGTGTGCAAGTTACTATAACATAAGATAGATGGTGAAGTATTAAAAAATACTTTGTTTCTAAATGTTTATATTTCAGGCAAAATAAGAAAAATAATCAGTGTGTAAAATCAACTATATTAAATTGTAAAGGAAAACTGTACACACATGGAAAGCAATAATTAACTGTATAATATGCTCGGTATTATTTTCAACTAGGCTCTCCAAGCATGGCCGCTGATAGAAAAGAGGACATGTTGGCATGGTCACGCAGGAGGAGGACTCCACACAGACCCGAAAGAAGGGGTAAGAGCGAATAAAAAGTAAATGGAAATTCTTATAGATGACTGTGTTTGGATAGAAAGTATGTCAAAGATTATCATATTCCAGAATATTTTGATTTTGGTTTTCTTTTTTTTTTAAATTATCTTTTTTGTTTGTTAGTTTATTGTCTTAAGCTTTACATATGTCTCCTTTTTCCCAAACTGACCCCCCCACCCAACCATTCCCACCAGGGCAGGCCCCTACCGCCCCAGAGTCTGTGTCCATTGATTATGCCAGTGGTTCTCAACCTTCTGGCCCTTTACATACAGTTCCTTATGTTGTAACCCAACCATAAAATTATTTTCGTTGCTACTTCATAACTGTGATGTTGCTACTGTTATGAATCATAATGTAAATATCTGATATGCAGGATGGTCTTAGGCGACCCCTGTGAAAGGGTCGTTCATACAAGTCCTTTGGTTGCTCTCAAAACCCCCCACCTCCCCTGCCATTTGTCTCTGGATCTATTTTTGTTCACCAAATTATGTTGATCATTATATCCTACATATGTGTGAGATGATGTGATATTTATCTTTCTCCGACTAGCTTATTTCACTTAGCATAATGCTCTCCATTTCCATCCATGCTGTTGCAAATGGTAAAAGTTCCTTCTTTTTTATAGCGGCGTACTATTCCATTGTGTAGATGTACCATAGTTTTCTAATTCATCTGCTGATGGGCACTTAGGTTGTTTCCAAAGTTTAGCTATTGTAAATCATGCTGCTATGAACATAGGGGTGCATATATATCCTTTCTGATTGGTGTTTCTGGTTTCTTGGGATATATTCCTAGAAAAGTGGGATTACTAGGTCAAATGGGAGTTCCATTTATGACTTTTGAGGAAACTCCCTACTGTCTTTCACAGTGGCTGTACCAGTCTGCATTCCCACCAGTAGTGCACGAAGGTTCCTTTTCTCCCTATCCTTGCCAGCACTTGTTGTTTGTTGATTTGTTGATGATAGCAATTCTGACAGGTGTGAGATGGCATTTCATTGTCATTTTGATTTGCATCTCGGATGATTAGTGACTTTGAGCATCTTTTCATATGTCTCTCAGCCTTCTGTATGTCCTTTTTTCAAAAAGTGTCTACTTAGGTCCTTTGCCCATTTTTTGATCGGATCATGTATCTTCCTTTTGTTAAGTTATATGAGTTCTCTGTAAATTTTGGAGATTAAACCCTTATCTGAAATAGCATTGGCAAATATGTTCTCCCATGCAGTGGGCTTTCTTGTTGTTTTGTTGATGGTTTCTTTTGCTGTGCAGAAGCTTTTTATTTTGATGTAGTCCCATTTGTTTATTTTCTCTTTATTTTCCATTGCCCCAGGAGCTGTATCGGTAAACGACATGTCTGATATTTTGCTGCCTATGGATTCTTCTAATATTTTTATGGTTTCCTCTCTTACGTTTAAGTCTTTTATCCATTTTGAGTTTATTTTTGTGTATGGTGTAAGTTGGTGATCTAGTTTCATTTTTTTTTTCGTGTATCTGTCCAATTTTCCCAGGACCCTTTATTGAAGAGAGTGTCTTAACTCCATTGTATGCTCTTGCCTCCTTTGTGAAATGTTAATTGAGCATAATTGCTTGGGTTAATTTCTGGCTTCTCTCTTTGGTTCCATTGAACTATATGTCAGTTCTTGTGCCAGTACCAGGCAGTTTTGAGAACAGTGGCTTTGTATTATAGCTTGATATCTGGTACTGTGATTCCTCCAACTTTGTTCTTCTTTCTCAGTATTGTTGTGTCTATTCAGAGTGTTTTTTTATTCCAGATGAATTTTTGGAGAGTTTGTTCTAGATCTGTGAAATATTCCGTTGGTATCTTAATGTAGATTACATTGAATCTATAAGTTACTTTGGATATTTTAATGATGTTGATTCTACCAATCCATGAACATGGTATATTCTTCTATTTGTTTATATCCTCCTCTATCTCTTTTTTGAATGTCCTGTAGTTTTCCAATTAAAGGTCTTTTACCGCGTTAGATAAGTTTATTCCTAGATATCTTAATTTTTTTTTTAGTGCAGTGGTAAATGAGCTTGTCTTTTCATTTTCTCTTTCTGTGAGTTCATTATTAGTGTATAAAAAAGCCATAGATGGTTATTAATTTTGTATTCTGTCACATTGCCAAATTCATTTATTATGTCTAGTAGTTTTTTGGTGGAGTCTTTAGGTTTTTCCATGTACCATATCATGTCATCTGCGAATAAGAACAGTTTTACCTTTTCTTTTCCAATTTGGATACCTTTCATTTCTTGTTCTTGTCTGACTGCTATGGCTAACACTTCTGAATACTTTGTCGAACAGGAGTGATGACAGTGGGGATTCCTGCCTTTTTTTTTAAAAATAAGTCTTTATTGTTCAGATTATTACAGTTGTTCCTCCCCCCCCCCCCAATAGCTCCCCTCCACCTGTTCCCACCCCACACCATGACCTTACCCCCCCATTGTCCTCTTCCATAGGTGTTCGATTTTTTCCAGTCTTTTTCTGCACCCCCACTCCCCCTTCCCCTCAAGAATTGTCAGTCCACTCTCTTTCTATGCCCCTGATTCTTTTATATTCACCAGTTTTTTCTGTTCATCAGATTTTTGTTCACTTGATTTTTAGATTCACTGTTGATAGATATGTATTTGTTGTCACTTTGTTGTTCATAATTTTTATCTTTACCTTTTTCTTCTTTTTCCTCTTCTTAAAGAATACCCTTCAACATCTATACATATAAAAGCCTAAGTTACCGAATGTCCTCATGACCGAACGACCAGTTGACCGGTCACTATGATGCGCACTGACCACCAGGGAGCAGACACTCAATGCAGGAGCTGCCCCTTGGTGGTCAGTGTGCTCCAACAGCCAACCTCTTGTGGCTGGCCAATCTCCCCTGGTCCCTCTCCCTGGCTGGCCGGCCAGCCCCAATGGCCCCTATCACTGGCCAGGCTGAGGGACTTGCATGAATTCATGCAGCAGGCCTCTGGTTTCATACAATACTGGTTTGGTGGTGATGAACTCCTTTAGCTTGTTCTTAGT